GACTCCAGAATCCTTCCCGTGACGCCCCTGCCATCTTCCCTCACGGTTCCAGCGGAGGGTGGTACGTGCTTGTTCTTCCCAGTGCCCCCTCCCCAGTGCTGCCCTTTGCTCGGCTACCTGCCGGGTGTTGGGCCGGCAGGGCCACCGTAGCGTAGCTCGCAGGCCACGGCACGTGCCACCGGTTCCACGCCGCCTCCCCCTGCACGGGCGCTGCCATCTTGCCGGGGTGAGAAGAGGTCGGGACTTGGAGAGTGAAGATGGGGGGCGGAGCTACAAGAGCAGGAGGCGGGGCTGGGCGGAACCAAACCAGTGCGGGGGGGTGTGGAGACGGGGGAGCGGAATCAAATGGTCTGGGCGGAGGAAGGTGCCTGGGAAGCGCAGACTCTCCTGGGCGGGGCCTGGTGCGAGGCTCCACCCCTCCGGGGCTCCTAGGGCGCGGCTGAGGCCTGTGGCTCCGGGGTCCCTAGCGCGTGGGCCGGGCGCTGCCAGGGCCCAGACCCCGCCGGTGCAGCCTGGCCGCCGCTGGGGTGTGCCTCAGGCCCCAGCTCCTGGAGGCAGGCGATGGGGGGAGAAGCTGAGCTGGCCCCCAGGCAGGGAGTGTCTCGCCCTCCTGGCCGCAGAGCCCAGCTTGAGAGCGAGACCCCCGGGTTGCCTTGAGGCTACAAAGGCGAAGAATCCGCCAAGCATTAGCTTATTATGATGATGATGATGATCTCATGATTTGTAAGCCAATCTCATGATTTTTCAGGGGCCTGTAATTTGTGAGCTTTGAATGTCGAGGGCTGGCAGCGCTGCTGCAGCCGCTGAGATCACCTCAACGTGCATCCACATGGCAGGGATCTCGGGCAGTGTGGCCAGCAACCTGCCCTTCAGGGAATCATGCCTGTCCCAAGGGTCGCTGCCCCTCCCATCACAACTGAAAGCGGCACTGGACTTTCCCTAAACAACAGATGCAAAACCTGTGGACATATCATCACTGCATCTGCTACAATGATTCACGCCCCCTACAATGATCAACGTCCCCCACAATACACCTTTCAAGAGCCAGGGGGCCCTACAGGCATCTATCACAGCATATGGTGTCCATCATCCAGTTAACTAAATGCCCCAACAACAACTATGTGGGTAAAATGAGATGATCACTACACTGAACTCACACAGGGAAATGATAAAAGACAAAAACACCACATGGTCTGTCCATCACAGGCATCCAGCCACTTTTCACCAAAGTGATGTGAAACCTGGGGCCCTGTCTCATCACTTATGGGGGGGGAGGGGCTGGAATAAGTTATACTGGCAAAAGCACAGGTTTGCCAAGGTAAGCTGGGTCTGTACTAGGAGTGTTTTATCAGTATAGCTATACCATTAAAGCGCTGCTAGTGTAAGCATTTGGCCTCACTGTTAGGTGATCAGGAAGCATCAATGCTGAACAAAAGGAAAAGTCTTCTTCCACTTCCAGCTTGCTAAGAAACTACCCCTTCCTCCAGATGAGGATCTGGCTGGAGTGATCCATGTATCCATTACCTCCAAATTGGGTAATTGCAACTCACTGTTTCTGGGGCTGAAGGTGGATAAAATGCAAAAGCTCCAGTTTATACAGAATGTGGTTGCTTGGTTGCCCCATGGGACAGGCCTCTGAAAACACACCACTCTCCTTGCTGTTCACTGATCCAGAGGTCTCTTTCACCATCATTAATTACCAGGTGTCTCCTTCCCACTAAATATGTATATTGTATAGTAAATTATTTCCATGCTTAATCTAATTTGTTGAGCCCATGAGCCACATTTGTTCTAATTACAAACCTGTTGAAATCAATGGAGTTACACCAGACATTAATTTTTTCATGCTTCTAATCTTTCAAGGTCCCTTTTAATTTTTTCTCAGTCTTCATTCACTGGTGCTTGTATAAATAGAGAGTAGATGATGAAAGTAATGGTGTCCCTTTAAGGAGCTGTAGCCTAAAGTTGCTCTGAATGGTCCCACCTGAAGATGAGACAAGGTAGAATGGATAAAAGACTGGCAGAAGCATCTATGGCTGTCTGAGGAGTGGATGTAGAACAGCCCAGCCAAAAACAAGCATATGGGGAGTGGTGAAAGTAAAAAAATGGATTATTCAAGCTGTGAATGGAGGAATGTCACTAAGGTTTCTTTGGGAGAGTTTCTGAGATGTTGTGACCAGCCAATAAGTGAGGAGCAGGCCTGGGCCCTTTGCTTTCAATGTTGCCATAAAATGAAGCAGTTGGCTCAGGGCCCCCACCCTGTGGTGATTAAAGGTCTAGGAAGCATCCTTATCCATTCTGATGGTGCTGTTTCCTTCACGGTGCACCCTAAGTCTGGTAAGAACAAAGGCACCAGTGGATGGGACTCTTAGAGAAAAGTCTTCTCTCTCTGATAATGCTATGGGTTTCTTTATTGTGCCCATGAGAATGTACAGCCATGTGATTCTGTCTTTGAAATGCTTTCCATAGTGAATCCCATGAATCCTGCTACAAATAAAAAAACTAACTTGTGGTATTGCCTGATGTGTCTTTGAACCCAATGTCTATGCTCCTACTGTGAAGGGCTGTATTCTCCAAACCAATTAGAGTATCTACAGAGAATAGAGAAGAAAGAGATACTAAGTGGGGGCATACCTGTAGTATTTCTAATGGTTAGAGTATCTGACTAGGAGTCAAAGTTTCTGGGTTCTAGTTCTGCATCTGCTGCTCTTCCCCACCTATAATATGGGGATAAAATACTTTTCTAGTTTACAGGGATGTTTTGAAACTTAATTACTGTTTGTAAAGTATTTTTGGTGAGAAAGTGCTATAGAAGTGAAGTGTAAGACTATTTCTCCCCTTCCTCTCTCCCTCCTTTCCCCTCCCCCCCCCCCCCCCGGTTACTCTATTGAATCACTTGGTTTGGGGAATAATTTGGACAAATGCCTGAGATAAGGGACTCTGGTTCCTGGAAATTGATTGTCTTCACCTATATGGGTGCATACACGCACAACATATTTGTGTTTTAATCTGAGGCTTTGGTGAACTGAGAGCTACTTAATCATATTGATGTACTCCCTAGCCTGTTTGCTTTCTGCTGCTAAACTTTCTCTGAAAGTAGCAGTTGTACTGGTATGTGACTGTCAATTGCGGGTGGTGAGGGAAGAGGGACAAGTGGCTGATAAAGACTCAGAGTTCATTTTGTGGTAGTATTCGGAGCAAAGATGAATCCCACTCCCACATTTCTTTTTGCTGACACCTCTAGGGATTCTGTGGCTGTTGCTAGCTCTTGTATCCTGGAGAGGAAAGGTGGACAATAAATATGCCTTCCTTTACCAAAGGTCAAACATTGGTGCAAAGACAGAGCTATATTTAGGCATGTTCTCTTCCCAGCATACCACCACCACATGCTACTGACTGCAGAAGGAAAGGAGAATTATTCTTTCTTTGGGTTAACAAACATCCACTAGTAGGTCACCGCCACCACGCCTGGCTCGAGATGGAAGATGTACCAGGCATCCTCTCTAGTGACCTCAGATAGTCATATTCAGTTTACCTCCTCTGGAAAGGGGAGGATTGCTGTGATCCAAGGCTTCTGGAGGTCACCACCATGACACTGCACCCCATATTCTTCATAGTGATATCATGATATGATTATAGATAATTATGCATTTTATGCAAGATTCATCATGTGAGATGTCATTGGAAAAGTTATGATTTGCTGAACATGATTATCCTGTTGGTAGGCATGTATCATTTTTGTAACGGAAGCTATGAACATAGACTGCGTATCTGTATTTCAAATGTAGTTACACCGGGTGATGCCCACTAGGCAAGATGCTTTTAGTCTAGATAGCTGGCTGGGAAAGGCCTATTCAGGATAATGGGCCATTAGGGAAAACAATAGGCCTTAGGAGAAGCTTATCTCCAACCTGATGAGCCTTCCTGAGAATGCTCCAGACAGCTTCCAAGTAATAGCTGCTATGACTCCACAAGGTCATGAGACCAGGCCACATGTTTCTGGACTCCATCTTGGGCTGTCATTGTTTTTCCACAAACTGAGTTTTGGGCCAAAAGGTTCCCGCCATATGCTAAAGCTATATAGGGAGGGGAGTGACATCATCCGTGGTTTTTCATTCCTCACACAAGAACACTCCTGAAAACACCCGAGGAACAAAGACTGAACTGGGGGAAGTGCTGGACCCAGGCTACAGGGATTTCTAGCCTGTGTATGAAAACCTGGGGATTCCAAGCTGCAAAGCAAGTGTAGCTTGTGCCTTAACAATCTGCAGCCTGCTTGTATCATCTGTCAGGGTGAGAGATTAACATACTAGAAAGATAGGATTTGAATTAAATTTAGATTGTTTTTGTTTATTTACTAGGTAATCTGCCTTGATCTGTTTGCTATCACTTATCATTTAAAATCTATCTTTTGTAGTTGTTAAACTTGTTTTTGCTTTATCTAAACCAGTGAGTTGGAGTGAAGTGCTTGGAATCTTAGCTCAGAGAGGCTGTTGCATTTCCTCTCCACACTGAGGGGCAGGGGAACTGGATAATAAATTCATACTGGTTGGGGTTTGGACCAGGGCAGGACAGTACCGCTCTGGGGTGTTAAGCAGGGAGTTATTTTGACTGTAGCCTTTCTACTGTTGCTTCATGCTGTAGCTGGTCAGAAAGCCTGCATGTAACTGCAGCTGGGTGTGTCCCTACCTGGGTGAATGCTGTGGAAGTGCAGGACCAGGAGTGGGTCTGCAGCTTGTCGCAGCAGCAGCACAGTGTGAGGGGGACCCCAGGCTGGTGGGTCAGAGGCTCAGTGGCACCCCAGTCACATCCACCACCAGCAAAAAACCAAATACCGACTCTAATTACCCTCTCTAGTATGGACTTAAGTCTGTAGGGATTGGTAAACTGTTTGATCTTTTTTCACTTGTTTCCCTTTCAGATGTTAACAAGACTCAACAACTGGAGGAGCAGGTAAGACTCTGGAGTTGAGAGATGGCATTTAAGAACCTGTGATTTTTAGTCTGGCAAATGCACAGATATAAGCCTGCATTGGTAAAAGGACTAGCTAAAGCAGGGGTTCTCAAACTGGGGTTGGGATCCCTCAGGGGATCATGAGGTTATTGCATGGGGGGGTCGGAAGCTGTCAGCCTCCACCCCAAACCCTGCTTTGCATCCAGCATTTAGATTAAAAACACTTTTTTATATATTTAGGGAGGGGGGGGGGAGGGTGTCGCACTTAGAGGCTTGCTATGTGAAAGGGATCGCCAGTACAAAAGTTTGAGAACTACTGAGCTAAAGGAATCTCAGCAGTCTTGCTCTTCAGTGACTCAGGAGGTTCATAAGATTCCATGGTCATCTAATGTTCATGGCACTTCTGCTGTCCCAGTGGCTTGCCTAGGGTGTTGTCTCCTGCATGGGAGTGGAAGTCTAGGTGAAGTTCCAGGACTAAATTAAAAAATGACGCAAATTGACTGGGCATAAGATAGACCCTGAAGGGGTGGGGGAGGTTGAGTTGTGGCAGGAAATGCTGTCAACAGTGGGTAAGAGATAAAGCAGGCTGCTTTCCCTGCTGCCACAGCTCACTTAAACAATGTTATCTAGCCATATTTGGGTGTTACAACTGAATTAGGCCCCAGTCTCTTATCCCCAGTTGATCCAGGAGCATCTCAGTAGCTGCTTGAATGACCGCGGTAGGATTATGTTGTCTGTCCAAAGAGGCAGATGGCCTTGAATGTGGGGAAGGGTGCTGGCATGGTTGGGAGGGGTAGAAATCTTGGGGTTCCATTTGGGAACTTTATCTCCACAATACCAAATTATTTCTGCATTAATCTGAAAGACCATTTCCTTGGCCTCTGTAGCTGACAGAGCGTCTGGGAATGGTGATCTATAAAGCCCTGGACTGGGGGATTGACAACCATCTGGAGCGAGAGCTGAGTGAACCACTGGAGAAGCTGATCTCCCTCCTCCTGAAATTGAACACTGAGGCAACAAAACCAGCAATCACTTTCCAGGATGTCCTCAAGGTTTTCCCCCTTTCTTATTTTTACTATACAACCATGTCAACTTCTCTAATGTATCTGCACTTATCACACTACCTGACTGCTCCAGTGCATTCTGGGAAAATCTGGTCTTGGCCCCACCAGTGCATGTGAGCTGGTGAACTCAGGAAGATCCCACTGCACAGTGATGGGAGGAAGGAAGAGGGGCAAACTAGTTTCACAAGCATTGGTCAGGCTACGTACACATGGCCCACTGCTTGCAGGAAACCCTGTGCCAGCCTAGGCCACTGGCAAGGACCCCGCACAGGTGGCACAGCTACTAATTGTAGCGAGGATGGGAAAACACGCCATGTGTAAGGTCTTAACAACTTACAAACTGAATTAATATCTGTAGCATGGCTAGGCCCTTAATCTCCGGTTCTCTCCTCTGTGGCTGTCTCCTGTGCAAGTACCTGCCTTGAACTGAAGCTCGTAGAAACAGCATGTTTGTGGTTCCTACTTCTCCACACCCCCCCCCCCGCCCGCTTGCCTGATTTTTTTTCCAAGTCACCTACAGAGATTCAGCATATTTGGATAGGGTCCAGATAAGCCCCAGGTAGTAAAAAGAAAGTTATGGGCACATCAGTGAGAAAGCATGGTGTTAATGCACCTGTCCTGCCTTCAGGAGAGACTTCTGCAGATAAGAGGAGAATCAGTGCTTGCAGCATTCTGTCTATTCTTGGCCTGGCAGCTGAATGTAAGTGTAGGTGGTCAGGAGAGACTAGTGCACAGTCAGAATGTGGACCCTCCCAAGCAACCTTTCCTATATCCCAAGGGATAATGGGTCCCTCTACTCAAAAGCAGTACTGAAGCTAAAGGAAATGCTTCATCTAATTCTAATAGCTATCCTCTTTTCAGGCCTCTGGATTCTAGCGGGCAAGACTGTTATCATATAGCTTTGCAAATCCACCTCTAGGCTAGACTAACCTTTTTACTAGAAGCCCTCCCCATATGGGCAGGTATTTTTGTATCAGTAGAACTTAGGCAGCATGCAGGCACTAAGAAAAGCTTTATCCAAAGCAACACATGCTCTCTGGTCTGTGCTCTAGCTTCAAAGTGCTGTCCAGACACTGAGCCTCACAACCCCTCTTCCATTTTACACATGGGGAAACTGAGGCATATAGAAACATGTGTCCAAGCCTTACAGCAGGTTCCTGAAAGAGCTAATGATTCCTACTTTGTGCCTAGTCCATTAGACTGTTCTCAAGGAAGTTTTCTCGTTCCAGTCTCTGGTCAACTGGCTGGTGTGCTCAATGCACAGAGCAGCCATAATTTCAGTCTGACAGGTTTATTTTTAGATTTAAGGAAAACAGAATAAAAACAAGTCTTCATGAGTGTACACAGTGGTTTCCTCTAACATGCTGTCTCTGCCATGTCTCAGAAAAGGGCAGCCTCACCAGAACACAAGGAGTTATTTAAATTTCCAGTATATAGAGGAGGATAAATTACATAACTCCATACATCACAGCTGGCACAAAATTGGGCTTTCCCTTTCTCTAGTCCTCTTCCCTTTGCCCTCCCAGCAGAAGGGAGGGCTCTTCTGAGCTGTAATATGCAAGGGACACAAGGAAAGGTGATCCTAATCTCAGAACCTGAGTAAACTGGAAACTGAGAGAGGCAACCTGCTCCCCATCCCCAAATCCTTTATTTCAAGGAGAACTTTTTTCCAACCATCAGTGCTGAGTGTATGGCTGCATTTCCTTTCAGATCTGTGAGGAGCATTTGCCCAGGCCCTCTGAGGCTGCCAGCTATTACAGAACAGTCTGCAGGGTTCTCTTTGCTGAGTACGTAGATCTTCAGAAACTAATGCTCACCCTACAGAGCTCCAAAGAGGTATTTTGGGACCATCATTAAGCTGCTGTCTTTCTTTCCTCCTACCCCACACACTTAATTCCAAGATAATCCTCTTGCCTTTCCCCAAGCAGAAGGTTTAGCTAAAGTTCTATTCCCCGCATGTGAAAGGGGTGGGCTTTCTCCCAAGAGCCAGAATACATTAATCTCGTGTATTTGTCTTCCACATTGTGTGGTGTGTTTTTGTTTTGTTTTGTCCCCCCCCCCACCCACCCCAACTGTTGAAGTTGGCAGTACTGTGACTGGACAGACAGGAATGGTCTAGGAATGACTGGAACAGTATAGGCTAATCAGCTCACATGTTTGTTTGACAGAGTCTAAGAAGAATGGATGTGGAGGACTTGCTGGAAAATGACACTCAGAGGGAGAAGGATAATTACTGGGTAAGAGTTTAGAATTTTTTTTTTTAACTTCTCTCTGTGAGGCCTTCCAGTGACTTCCCAGCTTAAAACAAATAGAGAGAAACATAACTAGTTAAAACCCTCTAAATACCAAGTGACACGTTATACTAAATTCTAGCTCTCTGTGGCAATTGCTATTTTCCCCAAGAGCAGTTCTCTTCTCTTTGGTCTTGTCTACACTGCCAACTTTGGGGAGATCTCCTACTGTAGCACTGGTGCTAACAATGCTGGATGTGCTACTGTAGATCAGCCAGTGACATTCTAGTCACCAGGAGTCCTGTGGCACCTTATAGACTAACAAACGTATTGGAGCATAAGCTTTCGTGGGTGAATACCCACTTCGAAAGCTTATGCTCCAATACGTCTATTAGCCTACAAGGTGCCACAGGATTCCTTGTCACTTTTTACAGATCCAGACTAACACGGCTACCCCTCTGATTCTAGTCACCATGTCACATAGACCTGCTGTGAGCAGGTTTAGATGTCAAGATAGCTAAAGGCCATTGGCTTAAACTGTTAGCACTTGTACAGCTCCATCAGAACTAAAGCAATGGTGGGAGATTCCCAGAAAAAGGGCAGTGTAGCTGTAGCTTCCATGTTTTGTTTTTTTTCCTCACCACCTTCTCTAGTCTTATCCCTCTAGTTGTTGGACTTCAAGATTCCTGGGGCAGGGAGAATGACTTGTTCTGTTCTGTCCAGGGCCAGTTCATTCAGTGCTCAAAAGTAAACAGCTCTTCTGATTGGAGCCTTGCCAAGGTAAACCAAATGCACTGGAGTCTAAGAGACGGGAACAGCAACCCCCAAGGGACCTGCTCCTACTCCCTTTGTCTAAATAGTGTTCACTTTGAAACATAACAAACCATTCATATGAAAATGTTTGTGACATATGTGTTTAGGCATATTTTCAGTTTTGTCATGTATTAAAATAAACTAGCAAGTTAACTCGCACTCCCCTGAATAAGCTACGCGAGATTGATTTAGTGGTCTGGGAAGACCCAAGTAAATGCATGGGCTTTGCAGTGTGGCCTGAAAGCCCAAGAGATTCCGCTTCACTTAATTAAGAAAAGGGCCATTTCAAAAGCAAGAGCCCCATTGCCAATCCTCTGCCTCTAGTCTCCCAGATTCAAGCCCCGCAAGAGCCAGCTGCTTGCACCATCCTGGCAGGTAGCCAGGGCCCAAGTCGAGCAGGGCTCCATAGATTGATTGTCAACCCCTTGATTCTTGAATGACATCTGGTAGCTAAAGCAGTCTATGGAGCATAGGATTATACACTTAGTATGCTGAACATCACCATTAGGCAGACCCCTCCTTAGGCACATCTGGTGCAGAGCTGTGCTGTCCTAGCTATATACGTATGTTGGAGTATCTAAGGCACCGATCACCTTGACCTCAATGCTTAAATGCCTCTTCAGAGCAGAACGGTTGCACCAGCCTTTAAGTGTGCGCTCCCCTGCCAAATAACTGTTAAGTGGGTGGAGCATGTGTGCATATCTCCACACCCCTTTGCAGTAATGCTGCTAGCTCTTCCTCTGCTTGGGTAACCCTGACTCCAATTGTGCCTGGGACATGTGTGTAGGTTGATAGAACAGCATTCTCTGTCATCTGACGTCAGGGTAGCCCCGGGCAGGGTCTGGAGGGAACAGAAGTCTGGGTAACCACTTTAAGGTGCATGGCTGAGAGGGTTCAACCTTAGCCAAATGCACATGAAGGCTAGCAGGGGAGGGTGCGCTAGAACTAGTATCTGTGTGCACTTAAAGTCTTCCTAGGAATAAAGCTGCGAGTTTTGGCTGTGAAAAGAATGGAATGTTCTCTTGGACAGTTGGCTAATGAACTACTTAATACTGTCCCATAAAGTAAGGTGAGGTGCTGTTACAACCAGAGAAGGACTCTGGTGCTGATTGCAGTAATTACAGTACTCTTTTCTGTAATACTTGTTAGTGAAGGCAGTTCAGCTTAAGCAGTCACACAGCTGCTTGTGTCGGTCTCTTTTGCTATTGGCCAGTTTGCCTGCAGCCTTTCCTTGGACATCCTTGAGTTTAAAAAGGTAACTCAATGTTCTGCTACTCCAGAAATACAATAGTTCAGGAAAGACTGTCTCAATATGGCTGTCCTTTACTTCAGTTGGGTGCAACATTACTCCATTTTTGTAGTGTAGACAGGACCTTGTGTAGCTAGGTTAAAACCATGGGTAGTCCAGGTTCTTGACTATCAGGGCATGCTACTCATCTGTGTTGCTTGGGGGCTGCAGCTTAGTTATGGCTCTTGTCATGTCTTCCAAATGTCCTGCAGTTAATAGTGATTAAGACCTGATATTGCAGATTGGGGAGATGGGGGGAGGCCGTGGAAAGGCAAATGTGGGAAACTTAAGGTTTTTAAGACAGGTCTAAATCAAAAATACTGTAGTAAAGTGAGCCTACACAACCTTCTTATTCTGATCATCTCTAAGATCAAGAGAAGGAAAGAGTTTAGGTAACATTATTAAGCTGTTGATTTAACATGTGGATCTGAACTGGATAGTTTTGTTGTGTTAATGGGATCTTGCAGGCCCAAGCACCAACCTAAAAGCACTTGCCTTGAAGATTGAGATAAAAAACAGAATGGATACATATTGTAGTTTCCAGTCTGGATCCCATAGTTTGAGTTAATTTGTATTATTTCAGCCTTCTTACCCCTTCTTCTTTGGAGCACTCAGAAGGATTATGAAGGCTGCATTTTATACTGTAGGCCACCTTTAACTTAATATCTTGCCTAGTATCTCATCCAAAGACCCTGAAGAGAAATTCAAAAACACTAGACCTTTCAACAGTCATCTGAGGTAGCTAAATTATTTTAACCATTTGCTCAGGTAAACTGAGGCACGGGGCCACACATTAAGAGTTAGTGACAACTGAGACATGAACCCACCTGAGTTCTGGTCTCTCTCTGCCTGCCCCTCTATGTCCGTCCCCCCCCCCACCGCTCTAAGCACTGTACTACTCTGCCTGCATTTCTAAGCAGGTTTAAATGAGACTCTCTCAGATATTAGTGCAGCTACAAATGGTTTGTAATTGCTAGTTGAGCCCTTTTATTGAATGAACGAATACCACCTCAGAGATTCCAGAGATCTTTTAACTGGCTCATGTTGCCCTGTAGCAGGCTAGCTTGTGGCACGATGTCATCAGGGAACTGCAGAATGGTGTGAGGCTGCGCAAGGCCATGGAGCGACCTCAACGTAGCGTTCCTCCCAAGGAATATGCCCGGTCTCCCTATGAGCTCTTGGCAGAGGACATCCGACGCAAGAGGTACACCCTCCGCAAGGTGAAGGTGAGCAGTTGTTCTCAACACGCTTAGTTTGGCATCTGCTGCTCTAGCTACCTGGCAACTGACATCTGTTTGATTAAACCCAACCTGTGTCCTCACACTCTTTTCTTCAGAGTAACTTCCAGGCTCCAAGGGTGGGTGAGAACTCATGAGCTCCACTTGAGCATATAATGGCCACCATATTCACCCACCAACTCACTTCATTTCTAAGAACTAAACTTAGTGCTATGTAAACTATTCTAGGCTACCTTGTCTGAAGCCACTTCATTAAACTGTCTCTTGCTCACTGCCTTTCCCAGCTCTGGAAACACTGATCTGTGTCTCCACAGGCTCTCTAAGGTGCATCCTACTTGATCTTCTTGGCAGTATGCAGTTCAAAAATGGAGGCCTCTTACATGCGAGCTATCCAAAGGGAAACTTACTAGTGGTCTGCCTCAAGCAGAGGGCCTTAGGCAGCACTCAGTGACTTGAATGGGGGTTTGGACAAAATAAGGAAAGCTGAACAAGTTCCCAGCAAGGCCTGTTGTGCTGACTGAAGTGTTAGTGGGCCCTAATGCTGCTGATTGCTAATGTGCCCCGAGACGACGATGTAGTTCCTCTAAAGGACTGCAGCATCACCACTTGCCACTGCTTGAGCTAGGTCAGTTTTAAAAGCTGGCATGAGGTTGTGCGGTGTTGCGATGTCATGCAAGCCGACTCTTTGGCACGAGATGAGAAACAATTTGGCGATAATGACCTCTCGTTACAAAATAAAAATCTTGCCTACCTCACTAAATGCCAGCTCTTCAGCTGCTTATTGTATGCTCCCCTAAAGTGAGGGAGGATGACATACCCGGTTCAGCCAGGGCTGACAAGCTTCACTTTGAAAATCCTCCCCTCACCCTCCTTCACCTGCTGTCAAACACCAGCTCCTGGACTACTGTGGTGTCCTTCCAATTGGGCTGAGAAACTGTACTTGGATCCTGAGTCTGAACCCAGCTAGTACTGCATACACCATTTGCAAGGTGCTCAGATACTCTGGTGATCAGGGGAGGGCACAGAAGTACCTTAGAGTAGACTATATGCAACAGACCCCAGTCGTTGGCGGGCAGAATTAAACCTGGGATCTCTGGAGCTTAGTGCATGAGCCTCCACCACATGAGCTAAAAGCCAACTGCCTGTTGGCTAAGGCTGTAGAGCAGATTCATTAATCTTTCTCTCTAAGTGGTCTTGGTGCCACTAGATGGGACAGAACACCACACCCAGGAGGTGTGGGGTTTACATATACATAGAGGAATAGTGACAGATAGGAGGTGGTACATCACTAGCTGTTACATGTTATGAGGTATAAATTGCAGGTGCACTCAAAACCATAACCTAAGACAGCAGAATGAACTGGGTCTTCAGCTGTGGTCCATGGATCATTGGTGTGTCAAGTATATCTCACAAGCATTTGTCAAGCAGTTGTAAGTGTACCTCCTGCTAGCTACAGTGCAGTCCTTGATCAAAACAGCCACTGGAAACCATGAGTGAGTCATCAAATTTCAAATAAGCCCCTCTGCATCTTCAGTGCTGCTTTGCATCAGTCTTTGTCAAACCAGGGTCAAGTTTGCAAGCACAAATGAGAGGAATAGGCAACACAAGAGGGTAAATGGCAAACTGACCTGGAGACACTCTGTTAGTATCTAGTATCTCCCCTCACTGCCTGCATTCCCCAGTGTTCTAAAGCCCCACTCCTTGGTAAAGCAAACAGCACAGGTACAAAATAGGGCTATCCAACAAATGCAGCTGCACCCAATATACTAAATGGAGTCTGATTTCATTTTCTCACAAATACTGTCCTCTTGTGACAGCCCTACCCATGCTGCGGGGGGTCATAGAAGAGGTGCCCATATGATAGAATCTCTGTCTTCGTGTTCTCCAATAAGAGAACTTGAGAAACAAACTTATGTGCCTGCTAGCTACTTCTGTTACAGTTAACCTATTTAGGAGTTTCTCAGTTAAACTACAAGGGGGAGCTATTCTTAGGGTGCCCAGACAGCAAGTATGAAAAATTGGGATGGGGGTGGGGGTTAATAGGAGCTTATATAAGAAAAAGACCCCAAAATCAGGACTGTCCCTATAAAATTGGGACATCTGGTCACCCTAGCTGCTATTGCTTTACTGGGTGGGGAAGCTCTGCTGCATGAAGTCCCCTCTGTGTGACACCATGGTCTGGATATGTTGTAATTTTGGAGTTGGTGCATTATGAGGCTTCTTAGAGCCTTGAAACTCTTTATGCTGCTTCTATCCAGGATCTTTTCATGGGCTGCAGGAATTTTGTAAGTCTTATGCACATACCGAAGTACTGCCCAGCTCCCAGTATATCGCCATGTGCTATTTCTTCACAGGCTTTTCTCCTTGCAAAAACATCTTTCAATCCTATTGCCCTTTCTACCCTTCACTCCCAGGAAAGCAAATGTCTTCTAATAGGACTCTTGTTTAATCTCTTGCCTAAAAAGATTGACTTGCGTTAGACGCATACTTATGAAATGCCATGAGTGGCTATGTAAGGTCGTGAAACTGTATTTCCTAATTCATCCTCCGTTTCTGGGGAAGGAGGCTTTTCAAGAAAAAATTAACTTTCATCATTTCATAAGTGTCCTTTTCGCCCTTTCAGATCAACAGTGAGCAAAACTGCAAGAGCTCTGAAGGCAACACAGTCGCTTCACAGCCCCCTTTAAAGCCAGTAAGTGACTTGTTTAGTTGTGATACCATGAACAGAAGATCCCTGAACTGGCTGAAGCAATACTGACCTATCCCATTCCCAAGTCCGGCAAGGTAGCTTGAATGTTAGAATATCCCTTTTTTATATATAGGCCAAATTTTAAAAGGCCCCCTGTGTTACAGGGGGGAAGGGAAGATGACTCAGATCTTTGCCCTTTTCTTCCCATGTCATTTCTAACTAATGCAGCTGCTTCTCCTCTTCCTTTTTGCCTCCTAAAATGCTTCTGAACAATCCTGGTCAAGCTCTGGTTCACTTACTATAGCTTCTGCTTTGAGTTAGACAATGGAAACATTCTCCATTCGTTAACAAAACTCTATATTGTTCCTATAAATTGGAATTTGCGTGTAAAGTGCGCAGGTTACAAATGGTGAGAGTGCTGGGGCTACAGGATTTCTGGCTGGGTGTGGAGACTGACTTGTGAAATAGTGCACTTCTCAGAAGGGGCATGTCTATTGCTCTGGGGGATCTGGATTTTATCCAGTGGCTTTTCACAGCTCTCTACTCCATGTTGCAGGCCTCAGAGAGGAAGCTAAAAGAGAACTCCCCCAAAGCACCCAGTCTGCACGACCTGCTCATGATGGAAATAAAACAGCCACAGAAGCTTCGGCCATCTTCCACAGAGAAAAACGGGAGCAGGCACAAAGGTACCTATTGGGTACTGCTGGGCATCCACTAGTAGTAGGCATACTAGTGATGTATGAGTTGGTAATGGGTCAAATAAGGGACGCTAAGGAGCTCGGATCAATTTTCAGAGGCACCAGTACTGCTACTTTTCAGACATAGAATCATAGAATTGTAGGACTGGAAGGGATCTTGAGGTCATCTAGTCCAGTCCCCTGCACCTCTGGCTTATGTCACCTGCTAGGGCCCACGTGCCTGGGCTGGAGTCTCTCACCTCGTACAAGAAAGATGGGGTAAAAGGCTCAACTCCTGTGAGACTAAAAGGACGCAAAGGGTTGCTGAGCCATCACCGCCTCTGAGAGGTCCGGTGTGAGACATATGGAGTCTGTCATCAGTGTCTTGCATCTACAGCTCACTTACGTTGCAGTTTTTGTTTTTGTTTTTTTTATTTTTTTCCAGATACCTTTGTGATGCCAATGTTTTCCTTGAATTCCCCGTGTGGCAATGTCTTATCTGTCCAAAATGCCAGTACAGGACTTACAATTCACAAAGTTAAAAAACAGCTGCTGATCCCTGACTTGCTGGTCCCAGAATTTCAGGTAAGTCCTTTTAAATGAAATTTTGCGATAGAGGCTGAAATGGCCCAAATATTTGATCTTTGAAATATACAGGCACCCTGGAACTTCAGGTTCAAATCCCACCATGGGCAACTTGGCCCTTCACTCTTCCAGGGTGAATAAATTGGACTACCAATCAGTTCATTTGAGTCCTATCTACCCTCCAGAAATCCAAGCCCTGTGTAAAAACGTGATCATTTATGTAGTGTAGATGGAGCCTTTAAAACTGAGGTGCTCACTGCTCTCAGTGCACATCCCATGACTCTTTTTCATAAGAGTTGGGATCTGTGAAGCCAATGTTAGCCAAAATGTCTTCTGCTCCCCTTCCCTTTATCATTGCTCTTCACGCCAGTGGTGTCTGCATTTCATGTGTTATGGGATATAGTGGAGATAAATTACTCACTGCAAGTTAATCATTCGACCTTCTCTGCTTATGGAATATTTGAGCAAACGACAGTTTACTTCAATAAGTTAGGGTTATTTTTTTTAAGATTATGATTATTCTATGAGTTGATCATGAACAGTTCTGAGTACTTGGTGTCTGAAATTCAAGCTGTGTTTAGTCAGTCACATGTCTGTTTCTGTTCCCTAATGCAGTCACTTTTTTTCTTCTGGCACAAATACTCTGGCACATAAACTGGAAGTTTATTTTTTATATGCACTTTTGTCAATGAAATGCTTTTCTCTGACTTAAGCAATTGCAAATGTGAATGAATATTTGTAGAAAATCTTTAGCTGTATTTGCACAGCTCCAGTGTATAGTTGGTAGGAACTTGTAATCATTCTAATGACAATGTCTCATATAGCTCCATTGATTCTGAATCATATTGGTGTATCTCTAGTGGGAAGGCTTGTACAAATGCTCTTGGCTAGCAGGATTGCAGCAGCACAAGCTAACAGTTCAGGATTTTAAAACAAAATCCAGTTATTGAGATTTCCTGTACTCTAAGGACCTCTTCTCAAGCAGTTTCTATTGTAGGGTCTTGAACTTCCACTAGTTTAGATTAGAGAGAGGCCAAAGCATTGGTACCTGGAACCATCTGGGGATTAGGCATGTCACCCACAGAATCTCCTGAGTTGCTTTCATGAGTTTCTGCATGCAAACTGGAGCCAGGAAAAATTTAGCTTCCTACATGGGCCCAAAGCTGTAGGAGGAGAGTCTAGATTCAAGGGCTGTATTTGAACATCTTCCATCCCTGAAACTTTTGAGGGAGGCTGGAGTTGAATTTAGGATTTGGGTCCCATCTCTATTTTTAAAAAATTTTTACTGGGTCAAATTCATCCGTGATGTAACTCCAGTGGAGTTTGACTCATTATTGCTCTTCTGAATAATCTGGAGCATGGTGTGTGAATTGAGGTGAACAAGCCAGCTAATTTCACCACTACTTCTGCTTACCTTACCACTGCCAGATGGTTGGCTCTCATAAGAGCCCCTGTTGTCTCATTCATTGTCAATGAGGAGCATATCTGCTCTTCTCAGGGGCTCTTGGTTATGCTGAGGTGACCTTCCCACCCAACCCTACCTCTCTGATGTGGTGTTTTATACCCACTGTAAAAATCTCCCATCTGTGATCCATAGGAAGCAGACGGGGCATTGAAATACAACTTGGGAGTCCTCTCACACAGATCTGTACTGACATCCAGCAGCACAGGTCAGTATGCCCTTTCCTGCCTTACTCTCCCCTCTCAAAACATGGTCTAAATACTTGAATCAATGCGTCCTCCATTCTTATGAGCCCAGTCCATCTTCCTCCTGCTTTTGAAGTCACTTGTCTTTTAGAGCCATCTGATGTGAGGAACATATAACATGGAGTTGCTGGCATGGAGAGTGACCTTTCAAATCAGTTCCTGGCTGTGAAACTTCTTGAATCTGTTAAGTTTCTAAATAGTGACAAAATTCTTCGTGCTTCCAGTTTCAGGCCTCAAGGTGTATGTTACGGTAGCAAACATTCAGTGAGGCTTTAGAATGTGTGAATGAAAGGAATAAGTAAATCACTGATTTAAAGTAGGACCCACTTATAAACAAAACATCACGGTTGCTTGCTTACATTTCTAATCAGAATGTACCCAATTACGTGGTGCTTCTGTGATCTTGGGTAAGGGGAGGAAGGGAAGAGGGTCTTTAGAACAGGCTTCACTCCCTTCAGAAACTGATCAGCCTGTAGTATTTAAGCATTCCACTCATCTCAAGAATCTCTGAAGTTACCAGATCACATTTATGCTTGATCACCTTGTTGTCCTTTCCTACTTTTCCATTTCCAGATTGCTCTGCAGACTGCACATTTACCCCCAAGAGCGTGCCCGTGCAAGGAGACTGTAAAACAAGCAGCTTTCCGAATCGAAATCAGCAACAGCCTTTCTGCCGAGGGCGGTTCGAGTCTTTAAGGAGTGCCCTTCAAATCAAGGAAGATGTAAGTCCTGCGTGGGCCTGCAACTCCGCTCCCAGTGATGCCACGAGCTGGTAATGAGCTGGCCTGGCTACTGTCCCAAGGATTGCAGCTTGATGTTGGGATAGAAGTGAGCTCTAAAATGGAACGTGGGGTGGGGGAAATGGACTTCCCCCAACTTTCAGAACTTGAACTCTTAATAAAGCTGGTCAAATTTTTTTTTGATAACTTTTTTCAACAAAAAATACAGATACAGCAACACCAAAATGTTTTACGAATTTGACAGTTTTGCTGAATTGTTTCAGTTTAAAATATTTTGTTTTGAAAGTGTCAATGAAATGTTTAGATTTTTTAAATCTATTTTTGGTTCCAAATGACTTATTAAAACACTTAAATAGTCTAAATCAATCCAAGTTTAAAAATATTCTAAATCAAAACAATCTTTTGTTTGACCCAAATTTTTGGATTTTAGAATTGATAGCAAGCGCAAAAAAT